TCCCTATTCTGATGCCCAAAACCACCTCAACTCGAGCAGCAGCTCTAAGCTGAGCACCATGAACCTGTTGCAACTGCAAACCATTCCTTGTACTGTACATCTTAGAGTCACACGTCCTTAAATCTTCTATCCTCTAGGAATCATTTTAACCTCTCAGAAAGTGGACTATTCACGGCCGGCGTGGCCGATTATAAAATCATGGTGCGCTGGTGGTACTGCACACTTTGTCACATGCTTCACTCACCCACTATAAGTCGCTCTGAGTCAGGAAGTTTCTTGAAGATTTTACGAAAATCTTCGTTCCGCTGTTTGTACGTGGGGCTGAGAACCTGTGAGTGACGACAGGAAAGAAAAAACAGAACATGTTATTCTACCTCACAACCATCCCAGCAGTAAACATCTTGGGTAACACTTGCATTTGTTTAATCAAGAAGAAGAAAAAACACCTAACACATTTTTAAATATCACACTAAACCAATCATTTTACTGTCAACCAGTTTCATCTACTGGAAGTAAAAAGCGGTTAAAGAAGAAGAGGGCGTGTACTTACGTTGTACCAGCTCTGCATTTTCTGCAAAGACAAAAAGGAAAACATTTAGTACACAAAGAAAATCAGTTACAGCAGAAACAGAACATTTTGACTGCGTTTTATGCAACGCTGAGGTTGTGCAGCTTTAAAGGGATGTCCAAACGTTCACCACTTCCCTATTTTAAAAAAAGGTAATTGTCACTGAGCAGCTGCAACAAACCGTCTTGGCTGCAACAGGCTGCTCCCTTCAAAGCGATGAGTCTGCAGCGAGGTGAACCCAGAGCCTTCGGGTTACGTGTGCCATTAGGTAAATTTACTCAGGGCAAACACGCTAACGTTTTACAGTCTCCTGAAAGAACGAGACAACACTGGAAGAGCTGACACAGCTGAAGTGAGAGCTGCTAAAAATAAACATTTACTTTCACTTATTGTATGGTGTGAACTCACTGACGACCGTTTTTATTGACATTACGTAACACGAGCGTGTTCAATCAACGTCTGGCAAACAGAGTTAATATTTAAGTGACCAGATTGAAGCAGAACCGTTTCCTAACTGGTTACTAAACGCCGCGTTGGATCGAATTTTACAGAGTCATGATGAGCACCACGAGACTTCTGCAGCACTTTGGAATTTCTGCTTTGATTGCTTATGAAATGCGGTCAGATCTTTATCCAAATCAAATTTACACAAACACAATCGCACTAACATAACACACAATCAGCTGTATGTTTTATGACCTTACTGAACACACTGACTCACAATGCAGGCTAAGACAGCAACCTCTACAGTTTAGTAACTTGTACAAGCTCCTTTTCAGCAACACCTCCATCGGGCATTTCCTGTCTCTTCTCAGTGAAGTAATTCTGGAGTTTTGTGTATTAGAAGAAGAAAAATCATTTCCATGCATCACTGCCCTCCTCCACACTGGACTCACTTCTCCACACACTTCTTGGACTACATAACACTCTCCTCTCACTTCCAGTACTTGCACTATTCTGTATTACACTGTTTGAGTCCATCTATGTACCACTGTATTTATTATTCTCATTGTTTTCTACTCTTATTACATTTCTATTCAAGTACAAAACTGTTGTACTCATCCTTAGTTAATCTTAGTTTCTGTATAGTTGAATTTTTGCTTTTACAGTTTGCAGCTTTGATCCGAGAGGACGATATTTTGTCTGACTGTATACTTGAGTGTATGTTGTTGTGTTGATAATAAAACTTGACTAACTGTCAGCTTCTGGGATACAATCCTGAAGGATAGTCGGCTGCTTCCACTAAAGCACCATGTCACAGAGGAAGTGATAGCCAAGCAGCTTGGAAATCATCAAATTAACATTTTCGATTGAGGTCCAGAAAACGTCTTAAATCTTAATCTGATTGAGAACCGATGATCAGTCAAATTTCAAAAGTTCAGGGGCCCATAACGCAAAACATTTCACTTTCACAGTACTGGAGGTATGCTACACTGCTAATGCTAGCCTGAAATCAAAGCAGGCCTGCAGCTATGAGACGAGTGACGGTGATGAGCAGCAGTGCTAGCACCAGCAGGCTGTTCTCATTTCTCTAACTTGTGCCTCCTCGTCTCCTCTGTCCTCCTGCCTCTGACCGTGTCAGTACATCATGTGGAAGCACGCCTCAGTTCCTAAAATGTATCTGGAGGACGGGGGATTAGATGGAGGTTAATCCTTTGTTGGATGTGTTTTTTCCTGCAGCATAAACGAGGCGTGGCACATAGCTGGATATACACACTGTGATCGCAGGGTACATGAGCTGATGAAACGTTCTGCCTGTCACCGTTTGTGTGCGTTTTGTTTTTTTAATGTATCGATGTTTTATACCATGTTGCAAGCTTAATTAAAAGTAGCCGTAAATACAAAACATGCCAGGAGCATGTCATAGGCATGAAACACAGCTGTAGCTGGGCTATAACTAAACCTGTGAGCAAGTCTCATTTTGTTAAATGCCTGCCGTCTCTCCCCGTCTCTCCCCAGCTGTGGATAAATTCTACATACAGTTAAAACTACTGGATGCTTCCTGGTGGCACGTGGTGAGGATGAATGGTCCTTTTATGTTCAGGATGCTAGCAGCTCATTGAACAGTCTGTCTCTCATAAAACCTTTGGGGAGCTGGACTCTAGAAGACTTGAATGACTTTTTTTATTCTAAAAAACAGCCAAAGAAAGTTG